TTACCAGTGTCTATAAATTTGTAGCTAATAGAAATCAGAGATATTTTCTTATGAAATTTCACTTGTTGCAGATATCTCAAAATATCATTTAAGCTCATCACTATTTCAAAATTATGGTAGTAATTAGTCCCACTGTTGTCTTATTATTTAATGCATTAATAAAGGAACACATAGATTATTTATCATGAATGTATTTACAGTATATACTTTTAGGGTTGTATTTTAGTGTAACTGGTTTCCTTTGTAATACCATGTATTTTATTTTATGCCCTTAAAAATGTTATTTTGAGGCTGGCATGGTAGCTCATGCCTGCAATCCCAGAACTCTGGGAGGCCTAGGTGGGTGGATCGCTTGAGCTCTTGAGTTTGAGACCAGCCTGGGCAGCATGTCAAAACCCTATCTCTACAAACAAAAACAGAAACAAAAAATTAGCTGGGTATGATGGTGTGCGCCTTTAGTCCCAACTACTCCAGAGGCTGAGGTAGGAGGATGGCTTGAGCCCAGGAGGTGGAGGTGGCAGTGGGCCAACATCATACCACTGCACTCCAGTCTGGGCAATAGAGTCAGAACTAGTCAAAAAAAAAAATGTTGTTTTGAGAAAGGATCCATGGGCTTCACCAAATACCAAAGAGGCCTATTGTCTAGGGGTTAAGAAGCTCTTCATTAGAGTAAAGTGGGCTCTCCCTGCCCACTCAGTTCTCCCCAGTGGGGTGGCCAGGATCATAGGAGGGATCTGCAGCCCACAGCAGCCCTGCCTCCAGCCCTGCCTGTGAGTGAGGAAGCCAGATCTAAATTATGTCCTTGAATATATGAGCATCACTAATAAAGAGATATATTGATGTCCAGCTGTTTGCTGGATCCCTCTCTTTTGCAGCTGGTGTCAACCTATGGCAGAGACGTCACGTATAAGCTCCCCTCAAACGTCAACATACAGCGAAATGACAGACTGCCATCTGTCATTTCGTCCACGCCATGGGGTCTCTGCAACCATATTGTGAGCCCCCTGGGACAGGCCTACGTCTTGCCCTCAGTGAGGCAGTAAAGAGGGTTGTGTGGGAAAGAATGTGGTCTCTGACCCCAGGAAGCTTGGGTCCAAATCTGGGCTCTGATACTTTGCAGCTGGGTGATTGTGAACAAATTACTTAAGCGCCCCATGCCTTGTTTCCTCTTTTATAATTGTAAGTGGTTTTTGCAAGAACTCAGTGAGTGAAACATGTAAAAGAGAACAGTGTCTAGCACGTAGAAAGAACAGAGGGGAAAAGATCCTATATTTTATGCCTACGTGTTTATCAGGATGCAATGAAAGCAGCTAAGTACATTTTCCCTGCAGATGAAATACTAAAGTCCTGGAGATGAAGAATTATTTTAATTAGATTTTATGGAAAAATATATTTCATGGCTTGCAATACTACTAAGACTGTATCAAAGTAGTCCTCTATCTTACCAGTAAGAATAAAATCAGCTTTCTCTAATCAACAGGTTGTCTTGGTGACATTTCAGGGAGGCAGCATGCAACAAAAATGAACGACAATACTGGTATTAGCTGACAGGTGGGAGAAATGGAAGTGGGACCCAGAAGACAGCCTGTTCACTAAGATGTTACCATTGCTTTTAAGAGATAAGTTTCTTAGAATTGGGTGTTTTTCCCAAAACAGAAATCTAATACAGAATGACAGCTATTTAAACTTGTCACTTATAAATAAGTACAAATTCTCTGTGCAGATACAAATATCTGTACTTCCTGGGTTGGTCAATACTTTTCTCTTGCAATCTTATTTCTATCATCTCCTTGGTCTGTATCCTGGTCTCTGACTTGGGGTAGGGCAATAAACCACTAAAATATTGAGCCTGCCTCTATTAGGTTAGTGCAAAAGTAACTGTGCTTCTTGACATTAAAAGTAGTGGCAAAAACTGGCCAGGTGTGGTGGCTCGCACCTGTAATCCCATCACTTTGGGAGGCTGAGGCAGGTGGATCACCTGAGATCAGGAGTTTGAGACCAGCCTGGCCAACATGGTGAAACCCCGTCTCTACTAAAAATACAAAAAAATCAGTCAGGTGTGGTGGCACATGCCTGTAATCCCAGCTACTAGGGAGACTGAGGCAGGAGAATCGCTTGAATCCAGGAGGTGGAGGTTGCAGTGAGCCGAGATCGTGCCACTACACTCCAGCCTGGGCAACAAGAGTGAAAATTCCATCTAAAAAAACAAAAAACAAAACAAAACAACACAAAAAAACAAGTAATGGCAAAAACCACAATTACTTTTGCACCAAGCTATTTCTCATTCTTTCTATTGTGTACTCATCTATTAACATTTCACTATTCTGTAAATCTAGCTTAAATTGCTGAAGGACACAATGAGATGAGGGTTGAATAAAATCTTGGTCCTAAAGAGGCATTTTTACTTTTCTTTGGTCTGTCTTCTTACCCATCTCCAACATTACTGTGGAAAATCCTCCTTCTATAGGTGTTTAAATAAATACATACTCTGGGGTTTCATTTCAAGGGTTATATTCTTTACTCTTCATCATTGTGGCAGTTACATCCAATTATCAACCATGTTGAGGATCATTATAAAGAAATAAAGACCACCAAATGATAATCAGAAACAAAACTCAATTTATTTGCTTGCCTGGGAAGGGAAGGTCACATCACTGAAGCACAAATTTAGCTGCTATCTCCATGTACTACTTGAAAGAAGCAGAGGGCAAAGGAGAAAGCTACACCAAATTTGGTGATATACGGAGTTCAGGTCACTGCTTAGCTCTGAAGGCCATGCATAAACTCTTCTCTACAACTGGTCATTGCACTGGTTCGCTTCTTAAAAGTGCAGGCACCATTCCCAGTTATGTTCAGGCTGCTCTGATGGACTTGGTGTCACTTGGGAAATTCGATGTGTTTGCTTGAAGTTGGTCAAATCTTTAACAGCATCGGTAGCGCATTAGTAAAAGGGTTCACCAAGTAAGATTCACTGGATACCTGTCTCTTTACTGACGTCTTTTGGAACCGCCAGATCAAATTTCCTTCTATTTCATTAAGGCAAAAAACAGAGAAATATAGATGTGTACCTAGAAAAACAAGTATTACACAGGGTGCCCTTCAAGGTTGTAAAAGAGCAAAATATGAGGTGCTAGAACAGATGCTTGTACATGAAAGTTGACAGCAGCTCTATGCACAGCGCCCAAAAGGTAGAAACAACCCAAGTGTCCATCATCAGATGAATTAACAAACAAAAATATGCTATATACAAACAATGGAATGTTATTGAACCACAGAAAGGAATAAAGTAGCAATACATTTTACAACATGGAAGAACTTCAAAAAACATTATGCCGAGTGAAAGAGGCCAGACACAAAAGACCACATACTGTATGACTACATTTACAGGAAATATTTAGGTAAATCCATAGAAACAGAAAGCAAATTGGTGGTTGCCAGAGGCTGGGGGTGTGAAGATGACAAGCTAGTGCTTAATGGATACAGAGACTTCTTGGTGGGTAATGAAAATGTTTTGGAAACAGGAGGGGTAGTTGTACAACATCATGAATGTACTAAATGCCACTTTACAACTGTACTTTACAATGGTTGGTTGTTCTGTGATTACTCCTTAGTTGTTAAAAAAGGAAAAAGAAATGGAAAACAAAAGCGCACAAAAGTTCATGTTTCTTTGAGTCTCACTGCAATGAGGGAAAAAATGAGGGAGCAGAAACGGCTGAACAACTGATGATGACGCATCAACAAAGAGAAAAAGACAAAGACAAAGACGGGTGTTCTACTTAAGAAACAAGGCTACAAATATTTGAAAAGCAAACCAATAAAATGGATTTTCAAATGTTTCACTATTAACTTCTTGCAAACAAACTACAAAAAATGTAAATGATCTTATAAAGAGAGAGCACACAAAACATCCAAGAAGAGCCTTTTCAAAGCCAGCGAGAGAGCCTCGCTCTGTGGAGCACTAGGTGCAGACAGGGCCTTTGAAAGGGCAGGGGACTGTCACACAAGCAAATCTGCCACTAATTCTATTCCATAGCTTTGGAAGTCTCCCATGTACTCAACTGCAGTGTAACAAGCATCACTGTACTGTACTTTTTCATTTTATTTTTCAAAATGAATGTGTAATAATTCCATTCCATATATTGTGCATAAACCTATTAATCTAAATACAATTATGCTCTTCTGAAAGAGGTTTCTCAGAGTTCATAGGTCACTTTCATCTATATTATGTACAGTGAGACCATTTTTAAAAAGCAATGACCTTCATGTGACATGAGACAGCAGGGATAGATCGTGAGGACATTATGCCAAGTGAGATAAGCCACTCACCAAGGGACAAATGCCATATGATTCCACTTCCATGAAGTGGCCAGGGTGGTGAACTCATAGAGAAAGAAAGCAGAACAGTGGCTGCCAGGGACCGGGCAAGGGAGAATGGGGAACTGGTATTCAATGGGCATGAGTTTCAGTGTTGTAAGATGGTCTGGAAACCTGCGGCACAACTGTGGGGGTGGACTTAATACTATTGAACCGCGCACTTAAAATAGTTAAGGTGGTCCATTTTAGATTATATGTTTTTACCACCATTTAAAAAACTTTAAATTGCACTCTTCTTGTTAAAATATTAACTTAAAATTAAAATCTTGTTAAAATATTAACATTGTTGGTATTGCCATCTTATGGCTTTAGAGAAATTATACACTTCACAAGTTTAAACTCAAACTGGTTGGGATTTGGACACTTTAAAATACTATATTAAAAATAATTATATCAACAGCAACGACAGCAAAAGGAGTAACTTAAGCAAAACAATGCTCCTTTAGGAGATCACTTCCCTGTTTCTAAATAAAAATTAGTGGATTGTGCTTCTGTGTAAAATGTGTATTTTAAAATGTAAAATACCAAAACATGAGGAAAAAAACCACAAAACTCAAGTAAAAACTGGGAATTCATTTGGGTCAGTGCTCCTGTGCTTTTAAAAGAGAGACAAACAACCACAAGCCTCAGGGCGCTGGAGGGGTTGGCTTGCCTCCCTTTGTCTGCACTACGGACTGGCTTGCTGCTTGCCCACCTGGACGTGGCTGCACTATCTGAACAGCGCCTGTTGCCAAAAACACTGGCTGCTGCAGGACTCTCAACTGTTGCGTCTGGAGCTGGATCGGCTGTCGCTGTGGCTGTGGCTGTGGCTGCAGCGGCTGTGGCTGCAGCAGCAGCAACTGCTGCTGCTGCCTCAAGACAGAGGGGAGCTGGATACCCTGCTGAGGAACCTGGGCAGAGCCAAGTAGACCCAACACAGCTGCCTGGGGCTGGGGCTGCAGACCACTACCTGCTCCAGTGGGGTTCACCATAAGAAGCTGCTGAGCAGGGAAGGCCTGCCCTTGAGTGCTCAAACGTAGTGCGGGACCCTGTGGCCCTGGCTGAGGTCGGTGAGCAGCTGTGGGCTGCTGGAGCTGCTGCAGGGAAACCAGCTGATGGAACTGCTGCTGTGGGCCGGTCAGAACCATGGATCCCTGTGGAACCTGGAGGAGTGTCAGGGGCCTGAGACCTTCAGGAGTATTTAGGAAAAACTGAAGGGGTGTTTGAGAAGATGCCTGTGCTGCACCGGGCCTTGCATCTAGTAGTGGACCTCCTGAGGACTGAAGGCCACTGCCACTGATTCCTGCAGGAGCCAGGCCACCCGAGCCAGAGGCCTGCACAAGCTTGAAACTGCTACCCAAAGCCTGGGCTGCCCGGACTGCGCCCTCCACGTTGATGGCCTTTAGGCCAGTGGAGCCTGTCCTGACCTGAATGGCTGGGGCTATTTTTACGAATCTGGTTGGGGGCCGGGCAGCTGGACGGGGCCTGCTAGCTTGAATGAGACGCACAGAGGGCTTCTGAGAATGACTTGGTTTTTCGCCTGCCGTGCCTCGCCGCAGAAGCGGAAGAGGAGGAGG